GAGTGCACGAGTAGAAGATAATACACCACTTACGAGGGAACATTCTCAAGCGATTCGCACCATTTCGATTCATCTTTTGTTGGCTTGTAGGGCTCATCATATACATATGAAATACCTGAAAGGGTTCGTGTCATTTCGGGTCGGTATCAAAGTTGTGAGCGGAAAATGTGTTACAATAGATGGTGTCACCTTCTAAATGCTATTTTTTTCTTCTTTTTATATCTCAACTAGGGGATGATTCTCCCCATAGATATTTATAATACGAACATTCCTCAACTTGCTCGAACGAAAAACGTTTCGAGAAGTATGTTTGAGCTACCTGGTCGAAAGAACGAAACATTAATGAATAAATAGTAGCATCATCTATCAAAGCAGATGTTTCGCTCATAACTTTAAAACCGAGCAGGAATGACACGAACCCGTTCACATATGTCATATATATGATGAGCACTACAAACCAGCAAAAGATGAATCGAAATGGTGCGAATTACTTGGGAACGTTCCCTCGTTAGTATATGGTACTTCTTTTTATAATATCAGGTACAAAAGTACTGCAGTGTTGGGCGTGCCATCATTACAAAATTAATTTTTTGTAACACATAGACATTGAGAGTATCTAATTAGCTGAATTCTCAGTATTAAGAATTTGACCGGACGAGATAGAACCGATATATGAAGTTCAATGCCTAGAAAACGTTTCTGATGTCTCTACAAACAGCTTATTTTTCAGCTCGGGAATGATGGAAATTATCAAAAAATTTTCTTAAAAATATGTACGGAATAAAAAGTCCTACCATTTTTGAGAGAGCAGACTTTGGCTATTTTCACATGAACCTATCTCAATTTTCATTTTTAAAAAAAATGGGTACTCTTTTGAGAGAGGAGAAAGATTTCAGTAATCCTTAACTTCTCGAGAAAGCTATTTTCACAGAACTGATTTTCAAAAGAATTTCAAATTTTCGCCACTTTGCCGGAACTCACATATATTCTCGAAGAAAATAGTGAGTGTAAGTTTATAGGAAGGATTTTTGTAGCTCCTCAGTTCCCTCCATTACAGACATAAAATACTAAAAATTAAAATCTTAGTTAGCGAATTAGATATCATTATAATTAAAGTTCAATCTATAATTAGACTTCGAAATCTGTCTTGTCAATATGACAGACCTTAGCAACGACTCTATTTAATCATTACAGATATTGAATACTGTTTTCAAAAATAATCTACTATGTCTGTATACAGATATAAAGATATAAATTGTAATTAAATATAAGCATAGATAAATAACTGATTTAGTCATAACAAAAAAATAATGGTTTTAATTTCAGTATAGCAAATAATAGGAACACAAAAAAGTAGAATTACGAAACTAATATATAGTTTTTATTGATAATAAAACAATATTTTTATCTCAAATTTATTCTCAAGGTTAAAACTACACATAAAATATCTGTTACACATATAATTGTAAATCAATAACTTCAAAATCAATTTATAAAACGTTAACTTAACGGCAGTTTTTTTTCTAATTAACAAAATACTTTCAAAACGTTATTTACAGTCGTTTATAGAGCATATATTTAACATATACATGTATGATAATTATCATCAGAATATTTTAAAACATAACAGAAACTATAAAGTGTTAGGATTATTTATTATTCATATATTCTATCTACATGTAGTATGGTTTCAAACTAATGATTTGAATATATAATAAAAATCTAATTGATTAAACAACATGTCGAATAAAATAGAATAGAATATCTAAGTTACTTTTCCAATTTGAAATGATTATCGTACTCAATTATAAGAATAAAAAAGATTGAAAAAAGGAAACTAATAAATATAGCTTTTACGATATTACAATTAATTTCTACTCCTAAATCGAATAACAGTAATAAACGAATAATTTCGGTTAAAATGTCGTATTAGAACTGTTCACTGAAAAAATTATGAAATAACCTTTTTGTTTAAAAGTGATGAATTGTCATTTTAAGATAACAATTAAAGCATCTTATATTCTACCGACTTTTTTACAATGTGCTCATCCGCACTACCATTCAAGTTGGCTGTGTTGATTAAGAAATTAGGTGTTGACTGGAATGGCGCTATTTTCATAGAAGGCTATCAAAGAAAATGTGAAGTTCCTACAGAAAAAAAGATTTTACAATGTATTTCTTGTTCAAAATCGTCTCGACAGTTTTCCGTCAGTATTCCATATTTACG